CCTGGCGGGAATGCCCGTGGGCACTCTCCTGGGCCTCAGCCTTGTTCCGGATGGAACAGGTGCGGCACTTGCTCGCCCAGGTGAGGGCGGTGATGGCCAAGCATCCCTCCTTCCTTCCACGGGCGGCGGACGCAGCGAGTGCCTCCAGGATCAGCTGTTTCTGCCTCTGGGGGGCGGGGAGCCGGAATTTGGGGCCTCAGCCCCCTCCCCACCAATGCCTGCATCCCTCACCAGCTCCGTGGGCCTAATGAGCTCCCTGCCGTGCGATGCCTTCCACATTCACCTTTTTCTCTAATGAGCCCCAGAGGGCGAAGCTGGGCTCCGTCTCATTGGTCACCCCCATCCTCCCGTCAGGAGGCCACGGTGGGGCTATTCCCCATCTGGGTCCAGACTCAGCTCCCCGAGGCCCACGGCGCCTGGACCCAGCCCCGGGGAAACCCGCCCCCCCCGTCTCGCCCCCGTGAAAAATCCAGAAACAGCAAAATGAAGACCACAGGTCCATCGGTGGGATGCAGCCGCGTGTCCCGTGCCTGTAGAACGGCTCGCAGACGGGCCCGTCACGGCCACCTGCCTTCTGGGTGAAGCCGCCGACCCCGCAATGGTTCCGATTTCCACGCAGGCTGAGGGCTCCCACGACCCCTCATTGTCAGGAAGTGGCCCAAGTGTTGCTTTTGTTCATGAAATAAGCCGGGTTAGTTTTGCTTTTGTGGCTCATGTGGTTTTGTCTGTCGGTTCAGGGGCTCGGAATTCTCAAGTCTGGTCTCTCTTTTTTTTTTAATCTGTTTTTATTGATTTCAGAGAGAGGAAGAGAGAAGGAGAGAGAAACATTAATGAGGGAGAGAGAATCATTGATCGGCCGCCTCCTGCACGCCCCTCACTGGGGATCGAGCCCCCACAACCCGGGTCAGTGTGCCCTGACCGGGAATCGAACCCTGACCTTCTGGTTCATAGGTCGACGCTCAACCACTGAGCCACACCAGCTGGGCTCTATTTTGTATTTCATGTCAACACCTCCTAGCCGGTCCTGCAAGTGCAGGGATGATACAGAGAGAACTGTGGGCTCCCCACGACCGGGGGTGGGGGGAGGGGGGCAGCTTGAGGACTGACCGCCTG